CTTGGTCTTGTAAATCTGCCAGTTCGCATAAAACCTTGGCTGCAGGGTGCTCTACTTCAAGTAACTTTAATATAGTGGCACCATCGTTAGTTACAGTCACATCCTAAAAGTCGCATTATTTTAGTAATTAGTCATTACATTTGCAAAAGGACAAATGATGTGAAAATTTGACTCAAACGTACCGAAGTCTAAATTGTATGTGCAGCCCCGCATTTCAAATAAAACACCTGCTTTGCAGGCTACCACGCAGTTTGACCAGATTTGGTAATATTTCATCAATTTTGGAAAAGTTTTAGTAATGATGGTTTTTTAGTAAATATTTTAGAGATTTAAATAATTTAAGACTTAACTTTCGGTCAAAAGAAGCCTAAAATAAACCGGTGGTGTGTCAGGAATCTTAATAGCATGCGTGCCCACGTAACCAATAAATCATCCCCAGTTTCCCTAGTGATTGCGCGGTTGTTTATGCGCTTTGTCTGTGGCTTTGTTTTCTGCCATGTCTGCGCTCGTATGTTGACCGACTCTCGATAGACATAATGTCAAAAAAAAGAGTGGCTGCGTCGTTTGATTTAGAGTCAGTTAAACATCGTATGAGACAAGATGTTTACGTAGACGGTATTCGTAAGCATCTCGATGCGCTCAGAAATGTCGACATAAAGCGTGTTGCATCGACACTGAAAGAAGCCGAAATTCTTCAAGTTTTGGTATGTAAGCTTGGCATTGAAACATTAGAAACGTTAAGAAAAGCAGCGCAACACGTTCCGAGGAATATTTGTAGAGTTGTGAATGCAAAATCCCTACGGGTTCAATGACTCAGTACTCTAAACCTATAACCCTACTCCTAACCCTATTTGACTGTGAATTTGGTTGAAGTTCATCTTTGTTTACGTGACTCGGGCGTTTGACTCGGATTTGACTCGGTAAATGGATTTACTCCCTCAGAAATACAAAGAGAACTTCAACATTTCGAGCGAAGGCTCTTCATCACGAAGTTAGGTGCTTCACTCGAAACATCAAATTTCTCCTTGTATTTTTCAGGCAGTTGCAACCCTACCAACGAAAGCTTGTTATTTATTGACACTACCTACACTGGAACAGACAGTTAAAAATTTAGTAAGTTTCAAGAGAAAAAATATCATTATTATTAGGTTTTGTTTGTGGAAACACCACGTAAATTTATTATTGCAGTAATAAATTTACGTGGTGTTTCCACAAACAAAACCTATTATATTTTATCACCATGCAAACATACAAAGAACTTATCATTATTATTGTTACAATCTTTTTCTATATCAGTGTTTCATTAATCCTAGATAAGCCTACGTTTATAAACATAGAATTTCACAAACACATCCGCCCTGCCCACATTTATATACATTTTTTTTAATTATTAACAATTTACAAATGTACAGAATGACAATTCTAACAAGATTTGTACAACTGTTTTACAGCCAAACACCCTTACACGATATTCCTGGCAAAATATACTCACCCCAACATCATCCACAAGCATTTTATCCAAACCAACCGGACCCAAAGAACTTTTGACAATATTCGCAATGGCTGACACCGCCATAACTACACATAAAATAACACAAAACAAAGTTATTACGGGCAATAAAAACACAACAACGGCAAAGGACAAGTCTTTGGGCTTACCATTTTGTGTTCTGACCGCGGCACCGGTCGTTCGTTCGCCCCCAACGCTTATAAGTTGTGCTGCAGTAGGAGCACTAGACATCTTGAAAATTTTGCACAAAAAACCACATGTGAAAAAGAAACGAGCCCGCTGTGCATCACGAGGTGAAAGCGACGTTACATTTGGGATACTTCATATAGGCCTACCACGAAGCAAACGCTGAAATTTGACGTTGCCCGCATGCGCAAAAGAAATACGCTATTTCCTTTACCACAAAAGTCAGTGCGATGTTTCTAGAAAGGAAACTGAGCGCGATGTTTCTAGAAAACAAGTATTTATAGGCTTATAATAGTAGGTTAAACAACCCAACAAACAAAATTCCTAAAAAATCTTGAGAGTTTTAACAATTTGTCGTGAGACCGTGAGAAAGCATAAAAAATCGTGGGAGTTGGCACTTGGCAGGTTTGCTCAATTTCGAGAACATTCTCGAGGTCCTCTTTGATAAATTCCCTGTGTTTGATAATATAAACTTGCACCTTTTTTTCCAATAAACCTCCACTCCCCAACAATCAACTCAATGACAATGTTGAGTTTTGTGTCATGGCAAACTACCAAATGAATCTACGAAATGGATGAAAACAAATTGTCCAAATTAGGACCAGTCTAGACTCTAGAACCACAGAATAAACACTTATTACAGATACTGTAATTAAAGTAAAGTGTCTATTCTGTGGTAGAACTCTGTGATAGAATGGTAAAGCTGGTCACGTTGCACTATCAAAGTTTCTGTGACCACTGATCACAGTAGGAACATTCCATAGGTAATTCTACTGAAGTCAGTTTTTTAAGGCCGTTTTCCACTATAGCTAGGCGGAATTTTCCGCGCGGAGCGGAATTTCGCTTTGTCTTTTCTAATTAGTTCCACCCGAGAAATCACAAGACAAAGAAAAATTCCGCTCCGCGCGCAAAATTCCGCCTAGTGGAAAACGGCCTTAAGGATTTGTAAGAAATGTCTGAGCATAGTCTATCAAGATGTGATGATCTGGAAATGAAAGGCAGAACTCAGAAGTCATTGTATTATGTTTCTGTTTGAGTTTATAATTAGTGTTAATTTGTGCGGCATGGTCACGGTGATTGAGCTCATTGTATTTTTGTATAATGAAGTAATCATCCAAAAAGGAGGATAGCTGAGATAAAACGTGCAACCACGATGACTAATATTAAACGAAGTTGAGACAAAGGATTTGCACAGTTCAACATCAGGCACAGGCCTTCTATTTGTAGCTTTGACGTTTGCTGGGTTTCCAGCGGACCATCACAACTTGACAGACTATGGTTTGAGAGAACTGACTGTTAAACAATGACTAACTCAGTACCCTCAAGCATTTCTTACAAATCCTTCAAAACTTAGAATTTACTCATGCACGATTCCTACTGTACAGTCTGTACTTGATCACAGAAACTTTGAGTAGTGTAGACCAGCCTGTAGAACCCAGTACAGAAGGACAAGTTTTCTCTGAATTATTTATTTTCCGCTTGTATTTACTCGTGTGTAGCTAGACTGTAGGGACAAATTCATTTTCTTTTGCAAGGAATCTTGTTCCAAAGCTGTTCGTGGCAAGTTTTGAACGAGAAAAGATCTATCGGAAATGTCTCACGTCTGATGTACTGTGAGGACATCAAGGAAAACTACGTGTTAATCAAATAATTGCCAAGGAAGTTACGAGGATAATAGATAACTTTATTTCTCTTTGATTAAACTCTTATGGGCGTTCTTAGGGTGTATATAGTATTGTCGTGCCTTTCAGTTTAAATTCCGCATTCTAACTCACCCGCAGTGAATCATAAAATTCACCGCTATTTTCAGTCTAAAGTTAATTCCTTCATATGGAGGACAAAAATGAGTTTGGCAAATACAACGTACGGCTACGTTAATATGAAGACGTTATATAATTTTAACCTTGCATGAACATTCTAGGAATCAAGCCCATGACGCCGTAAACTAGTTGTTCAATGTGAATTCACGGACTATTCATGCCACTATGGGGGGGGGGGCACTATTAATAAGCCTTGTTTAAAGGTAAGATAAGTACTTTCAAGTTTCAACAGGCAAATAACATTTTTAATATCTGTTTTGGCTCGAAGTCATTTTTTTTTCTGCTGTTGTCGGTTATACTTTAAACCCCAACGCCAAGGCAAAGGAGACAAGGTTTTTGAAGATCGAAACTGATGTAATCCATGAAATTCCCACCCTGTGCCCACGCCATGCTTTGCTCTGGAATAAAGAAACATAACAATGGTCACGCCTTTTGCTATATTGTCTTATTGGCTTTTATATATACGAGTCAATTTGATTTGCTTACATGCATATTACTATTTAGTCTATTTACTTTGCTACCCAAAACAACGAAACTGTAAAAATATAAAAATACAATACTGGCACAGACGTTTGTATTTAATTAAAAAAAAAGTGCGACACTTCACACGTCTGCGAGTAAAATTATTTCAGCTTGGATTGTGCCAGCGTAGGTGGTACAAAACACCAGAAAACTGCGCGGGATTTATAGGGATTAAAGACATTAAACTATCTGAAAAACACTGTCAAACTTCGCTCAAAAACGTCGAAATTTCACTTGTATTTTTGAGGCAGTTGAATGACTTGAATCCCTCAGTGTCAATCTGCCAGTTTCTTCTTGTACACGCGTAAAATTCTCATATCTTGTAGCAAGTCTGCCAACAAGCCGTAGTCTGTTTAACAACTCAACAAGTTGTATTCGCACTGCTTGTCCCAAGTTGTCAACAAGTTTGGAACAAGCTGTTATAATAACAACTTGTAACAACCTTGTTGATACGATCAGACTTGTTGCAAGGTGGTACGTTCCAACAAGTCCGATACAATGCTTGTGATGTTACTCTGAGTCAGGGCGCTATAAAATGTCTGAGTGTATATATCCACACCGGGCAAGCTTGAAAAATATGCCTGACCACGGTGGGAATCGAACCTACGACCTTTGGAATGTTAGCCCAATGCATTCCAAAGGTCGTAGGTGCCCAAAAAGTCAAGTCCGATACAGTCTTGACATAAGTCATAACAATATTGTTACAACCTTGTGTCGTCAACCTTGTATAAACATTCTTGTTATACTGTATATATCACGACTGAATCAGACTTGTTAGAACAACCTTGTAACATTAAGTCTGACAATGCCATCAACTAAAATAAAACAAAACAAAACAAAACAAAAGAAAACAAAACAAAACAAAAGAGAAAGTTCGAGACAAATAAAATACTGAAAGTATAATATTTCAACTGCTGCATCTAATTAAATCGTTTCTGGTTCCGCTGTTGCAAATTTGACTTCCGGTTTTGAGAAACACCCACATCAGATGAAAACAATCGCTCGTCTTTCCAAGTTTGTGGGCAGTAAACGGTTTATTTAATGAAAATACACACAGGGTTTCAGATGAAATAACGTCCAGGATATGTTAACAGCGGGTCGATGGCGCTGCGCGAATTAGTTCTGCCAACTTTGGTGTTCGCTTCTTGCCTGTTACCGTTTTGTGTGTTTGGTTTTGAAGACGGATCTCACGGAAGTGCTTCGGTTTCTAAACGTTGTGAATGTGATTCTGTCGAGTTTTGGCTCCCTGAAAGAACTGATGGCGCTTCAAAATTGCTCTCTTACGAAGAAATCGACTCAAATATACCGAACGATATTAAGATATTGTCGAAAAACGATGTGGACAGAGGCTTGCATTTATGGCTACCAAAACATTGCGAATTGAGTTCAGACAATGCCTTGATCTTACAAAAAGATGCTGGGGTTAAAAGCCAAAACATAGCCAAAGATTCTGTTGAGGTTTGCGTTTGATATTCTAGACTATTTGTGCTTAAGTATATTATTAACGATATTATCACGTTCATCGATGAGTGTTTTATATTTTGTCTCATAGCAAACTAACTGTGCTGGTATATTTTGAAAACAGGTATGGACCCCTTCCGTAAATTGTATGGCTGCTACCTTGAAATGCAAGTTTAAAACTTTGTGCATTGGCATCGAAACGAGAAAGGAAGGTAATTGTATATTTTTCGGATATCGAAACCTCTTGACAAGGTGTAAAGTGGATTTGCATAAGCCTTTCCACTGACGAATTGTCGTGGTTTACATATTTTTTCTCAGCTCTGCAGCACTTTGAACTTATTTCGTTTCTTAATTTAAGGCTCAACGTCACAAATTTTTGTGAAACAAAGACTATTTTGTGAGCTTGAGGGCAGCAATTTAAACTATTGAAGTGTCTGGCATTCTTTAATACGCATGGTTGCACATGTCTGTGTTGATTTGCTTTCGTGTTTATACAACAGTTGCTGTACTCGCATGCTTTGAGCTTTCTTATAATTCATGGAATTTTGTGAGATATGTTTCTGGTTTATTTGGCTTTTCTTGGAAAGACCAATGTCTATGCTTGTTGCCGCACACTTCTCATGTTCGGATAAGGTTGCATGTCCAGTTTGCCACTGTTCTGATATAAATGTGGGCATAGAATGGAACAGGGCAAATATGGGATGATCATTTACCCCGAGGACCGATGTGTGGCATTTTTGGGGTACTGCCTTTCCACATCAGAGAATTGAGACAATCTAAAGAATGTGAAAAGCGACTTTTCGAAGTTGTAAAATGTCCCATTTCCTGGTGCGTACTGTCAAACTTTTGAAGTATACAATCCGCAGTAAATTGATGCTGTAGAGAACTACCTCATTTTTTAATAAATAGATCTTCCACCAAGGATCTTTTACCTGTGGAGGCATGGATGCTGACCTGTTTTATCCAGCTAAAGCAGTTTTAGTTCATGAATTAGCTTTTCTCATGCTAAAAATGAAAGTGATTGTGAAACCACAAGGTAGTTCTCTACTGTGATAACTTATGGGGGTCGTATACTTATGTGATGAAAAGCCGATATAAACTTTATAAACAAGAGAAAATGTAAAACGTAACAGAACAGCAAACATGCAGATCTTACTGGTAAATAATGGTAATGTTAGGATAGTAGTTCTTGCAGACCGCAGAGGAGAGCTGGCAGTGAAGGCCGTTTTCCATTAAGTTTGCACCTGTCACGCCCGTGTGAACAGATTTTCAAAGCCCGCACGGGCAAAGCGACTGCAATGGAAACTGGCTTTAGGGCTCCCTTATGCACCACCTTGTAGAAAACCTGCACCCCTCCTTGCAGATGAGGCTAGATCTGCCCCTGATTTAACACCACATCATATTAATTAAAAATCAGAATATTAAAACAAACTTAAATTAATGAACTTGCCGCTGTATTCTCATATGTAGTCCAGTCCACTCAACGAAAACTACTGATGTTTAAAACCGTCGCCAGTGAAGAGACGTTTGCCCATCGACCCTTCGCCGTTTTGTTAAGCGTCTTGGTTTTTTGTTCGATGATCATTCTCATTGCCTTGTGTGGAAAAGCTGAAAAGAAGTATGTCTTAACAGTTGAGAATTTTGGGTAAAGTATGATCTTAGGGGTTTGTTTGCACTAAATGTATGGCTGTATAGCCAGTGCACTGCACCTCCCCCCAGTTAGGTAGCCCCCCTCCCCCCATGCTTGACACAATAGAAATGTATTGTCTTTAACCTATGTAGATGCAAGTTTGAAATTATCAGCATAGCATGACCAGTTGCCATGCTATGTCACCGCTTCGTCACTGTATGGAGTAAGGCAGAAGTTTATAATTAAATCTGTCAACATTGTATTAATTGAAAATAATAAGTTCCTTCAATGCTTTGAGTTTTTGTCTGTAAATGCTATAAGCTTATTTGTAGACCCATTGCACTGATGTCACAAATCCTTAGAGTGTCATCCAGATGCTCCCTAACAATATCTGTTCGGGTACAACAACCACATACAGCGCAAAAATAAACCATTTTACAGGTAAACTATGTGAAGCGTTTCTCTATGTGAAGCATTTGGAATTTTCAAAATTAGATTTGCAAATTTGAAAAACTCTTGAGGGAATTTGCAATTTTCCTGTCTGCCGTTGCAATATTCCAACGCAAAGAAAATTCCTTTCAAATTTTCCAAACTTCCTGTTTTAATTTCCTAACTTCCTGTTCTGTTCTGAGCGTTATCATTGGTGGATTATTTTTGTTAGCCAATTGCAACACACAGAACAGAACAGAACAGAACAGAACAGAGCAGGGAATTTGCAAGGGAGTTTTTCAAATTTGCTAAGGTAATGATGAAAATTACAATCAACTTAGGAACTCAAAAGAGAAACACTTCACATAGTTCACCTGTAATAAAAAATTATTATAAAGTTTTACAAAATTTGCTGTGTTTACAAAAGTTATATTATGCATATGTTGCTAATTTGTCCTCCAGATGCATTCGTCACCGGTGTTGTGACGTCATGTGCCATTGGTCTATACAACAATTAAATAAGAGACCAGTATCTAAATTTATCAATTATTTTAGTGTTTAATGTTAGAATTTCTGTTGGTAAGGATGTTCTTGAAAAGCTAGTAGGAAATGGTTTAGTACTATTTAAAACACAAGCAGAAGTGTTTTAAAGGTGCTCTACAGTCCGATCTGTGCATGTGCACAAAGGAGCCCACTTTTTATGATACAAACAGTTTAACTATGTTTTGGGTTCTTGAAAAGCCTGATTGTTGTTTCTTGATAATTTATTATACTCTAAGAAGCTTGAAAATATAAATAGTTGTCGAATAAAGTTCAATATTTTGGACACAAAATGTAAACAAAGGCTTTGTTTACATACGGACTGTAGGGCACCTTTAGGCTTTAAGTATATTAAAATGGCATTATAAATTTCCAAGTCATTGCTATCAGAGGGGTTTTTAATTCTGGTATATGGAGGCGTCTGTCCGTCTTTCCAATAAATCAACTCGAGAAACCTGGACAAGTTAATTACTTTCTGTTGTCTATTAATGTTATGTTGACAGATTTATAACACCTGCAGTCTTACTGTGTATACAGTAGATAGCTTTTGTAATTCTATCTTGGCATTCATAACATATTATCGAAATTAAGTGGATGATTTGATTTAAACAAGAAGAACGTAATCCATTACCATAGCTGGAAAGAGCATCGTAAAATGAGTAAAATTGCAAAGTTTGGTTGCGAAGTGTTGTAAAATAAGCAAAATATAGCCCTGTGAAGTTCGCAAATTTTGTAAATATTTGCATTACGCGCGTGAAAAATAAGCGGCATTTTTGAGCCGCGTTATTTTTACCGCGCGTAACACAAATATATACAAAATTTGCGAACTTCACAGGGCTATATTTTCTTCATTTTCCAACATTTAGCAACCAATCTTTGCAGTTTTACTCATTTGGCTAAGACGCTGTTTCTAGCTGTGGTGTTGGATTTCGTTCTCAGTTCTTGCCTTGATCAAAATTTAATATGTAGCTGGTATCACCCATTGAAAATGAGTTTCATTTATTGAAATACTTAGTGGTGTGCCAAAAGTTTTTGTCTTAAATTGATCTTAAAATTTAGAAATTTTATACATCAATATGAAGTTTATATTAAAAAATATACGTCTTATATTGTTTGTGCTAGACCTCGGGAAAGTGTGGCCCATGACAGTTCTGCTGATATTGTTAGAATGGTATCCTCTGAAAAAGTACAGGTATATAAAAGTGTTTCGTATTAAAATAATCACCCAGTTTAAAATAATCACCCAGACGTAAGGTTTAACCATTAAGCCCTCACATCCTTCGTTATTTGCATATATCACATTGAAATATGGCTTCAACAGTAAACAGTGAATTATATAACGCGACGTCGTTAATCGCGAAATCTGAGAATACTTAAGGTACTGTGCAAAATAAAGTCTGTTGAAGTATTTAGTGTAGTGTTGGCCTAATTTCAGTTACTGCCTATTCTGTTTTTTCAATATTTATACAGAGGTTAGTTTTTACGACATTTGTCTATTTAACTCTATATATAAGCTCTACTGCCACTAGGAACACACTAAATATTTCTACAAACCGGCTATGCTTTGCTACCAGCTTTTGAGACAAAATGCAAACGACCTACCGTACTCTATGATTTTGCGCCGATTTACAGCATCGCGTAATATATATAATTTACTGTTTATCCCAGAAGTCCTATTTCAACAGGTTATGCATCTAATACTTTAGTTTGTGGAAACACCAAGTAAATTTATTTCTGCAAAGTTTTCGATCCGTAAGCCCGGATCTTCGTCAGTGCTAATAATGAGTCATGCATCGATGATATACATGCAATGCGGCCCAATGGGCTAGGCGTATTCAATATTTGACTAAAACATGCAATTTTTTAATAAAACTGTGCGTGGTTTTGCTGTGACAAGTAAAACAGTTTGGCATTGGACAGAGTGAAGTAATAAGCCAGGCCAAAATGAGATCTATTATTGCAGCTTTATGGATTGATTGATTTGATTCTATAAATTTTAGAGTCTTCGTAAAACAGATACAGTCAACGACGAAGGAGAAATCATAGACATCAAAGTCGAAGGCTCCGGCAACTTGGATACAGACAGTAACTCGAACAACGCCAAACAACTTGTTGCGGATGTTGACCTATCTTCAGTCGTTGTATCGGAAAGCGAGGCCCAGAAAGATGTTGGCAAAAACAGTATTGACGAGGTCGTACTTCAAGACAACGTGAACGACCCAAATACCGGGAAGGCTGGAGTTGAAAAACAGAAGGAGATTGATTCGCGGGGGGAAACTGAGGAAGAAGATAAAATTCGAGAAGGGAAGAAAGATAAACGAAAGGATGAAAAGGAAAGGAGAGATAAACACAAAGAAATCAAGAACAAAGATCGAAACAAAGACATGAGATCGAAGCGCTCTCACACTTCTCCCGAAAGAGAGGAAAAAAATTCCTCCACATCCAAAATGCGATTTTCTCTAAAAGGAAGTTCAAACGCTTACGAAGAACCGAAAGTTAAGAAGAGAGATAAGACAAAATCCAAGAAAACGGCAGAAAGCAATTCTCCGCTCCCCAACTCGGCATTCAGGGGGGATCGTCGTAGCTTTACAAACCGGGAATTGCCCAAGAGACCTTCGGAAGAGCGTGACAACCCCCCTGCTTCCGCGTATGATACAGACGAAGAGGAAGAGGAAGAAAACTACGAATGTGTTAAGATACAGGGGGGTCCTCCAAGGAGCCCGGGGAAACTCAATGTCCCCTCTCAAATCTGCGACAATGGTTCCGATTTGGATTTATACGACTCGGTGGATGATACGAAAGTTGCCAAGCCGCAAACGGGGGTAGGCCCCATTCCAAATTCCGATGATGAATTAGAAGACGCTTATGAAGTAGTCGTTTCAAAACCTCGTCCCACGGCCCCCACCTCTGCCATACTCCTCACAAGGCCCCCTGCCCCTGAGCTATACGAGAGTGTCAGCGGGGACTACGAGAACCCGGGGGTGACCAAACAGCGAAGTTTTTCTGAAAGAAAACCCGGCCGCTCCTCTCCCCAAATGGATGCCCAGCGCAAGGCGATGTCCCTGGAACGGAGGCGGGAGAACGCCCCCACTCCCCCACCGTTGGAACACATGCACCAGATCGCATCACATCAAATTATGATAGACGACATCGAACCGTATACAGTTACGGTAAAGAAGGGCGATCATATTCTTCAAGAGACGAGCATTTCGACGCACGACTGGCCACCTAAACATATAGAGGAGACCAATTTGAGTCCCGAGGAAAAAGATCAGTTGTATACGAAAGTGGACAAGGAGAAACAGAAGAAAGACAGGATGGAGAATCCAGCTGGTGATGCTGGGATAATAGGGGATAACGAAGTTACGGGTAGAGCCGAAGCGACGGTTTCTGTATCTGTAGGTAAGTATCCTAGTTCCTTGCACAACCAAGACTCCGTTTCCACTAGAGCGAAAGTTTTCGGATTCATCACAAAACCGGAACGTTTTAGTACCGGATTCATGCATGCCGTTTACACACGCAGCGACGAATCCGATGGTAAATCTTCTCGGTTTCGTGCCGTGTCCGGAAACTTTGAATCCGGAAAAGTTTGTGGGAACTTCGTATCCGGGAACATTTGAATCTCATGAGAAAACACTCGTGCATGTGAACAGCTTTCCGTAAAGAATCTGAATGAATTTGTTGTGTATGTTTTTTCAAATTTATTGCTATTAAATTCAACCGCCAAACAGGGTCAAAACATCGCATAATATCACTAAGAGGGTTAAAATTATTTACTTTATATTGACCATCGCTGTGTCGGGCTGTGTAGTGTAAACGCCTCATGGATCCGTGTACTTGACTGAAAAACAAGGAATTAATCTGGATACTTATACAAATCCGGAAAACTTTTGCTTTAGTGTAAACGTAGTCTAATAGAGTGACTCTTCAATACTCAGTGAAAATTTCAGGTCAATAGCTTGTATAAGTTTTGAAAAATCACATATTCGGACAGGCCCCAGAAACGACAAATTGAGAAAATCAGCCACTAACCATGGGGCTCAAAATGCTCCAGCTTCATATTATAAGTAACCTCCTTTTCTGTTAGATTGTCAATATAAGTTTAAAGCTTGAACATTAACAAAGCACCACCTTAATATTCTGTCTCTCAATGTAGTTTCTGGTGAAGAACACCAATACGAAACGATGCCACGAACGAAAAATTCTGAAACAGCGCTAGAAAAGAAAGATTCTGTCCAGGAAGAACACCAATACGAAGCGGTGGCACGACAAAAAGATTCTGAAACAACGCCACAAAAGAAAGAATCTTCCCAGGAAGAACATCCATACGCAAAAGTCCAAGTAAAACAAGATTCTTTCGACTTAACTGAAGATCCTGAACTGTACGAAGAAGTCGAGACAAAAAAGGACAACACAAACCCTAAGAGCGCACCTGTGTATGTATAAACCAAAGTTGTATTATACCGTCACGAGGGTCTTCCAGGAGGGAGGGGGTCTGGGTTGACTTTAATCATAGGTTAGGAAACTCGATACAGACAGGTTCGTGCAAGAAACTTCACACCGCTTGTCCCAAGTTGTCAACAAGTTTGGAACAAGCTGTCACCAACTTGTAACAACCTTGTTGATATTATCAGACTTGATGCAAGGTTGTTCCAACAAGTCATGATATAACAATGTTGCTACAACCTTGTGTCGTCAATCTTGTAACATTCTTGTTATATCATGACCGTATCAGACTTGTTACAACAACCTTGTAGCAAGTCTGATAATGCCATCAAGCTTGTTACAAGTTGTCAACAGCTTGTTCCAAACTTGTTACAACAACTGGGAACAAGCAGTGCGAACACAACTTGTGAACAGATTTGTAACAACTTGCTTGCAGACTTGTAACAACTTGTGCGTTTTTACGTGTGTAATTACACAATGGTTAAATGAAAACATTGGTTGATCTGGCGAAAATACAACACACACGTGACGATGAACCGACTATTTCTTGCATAAACCAAAAAAGACAAGCTTTTAGATAATGAGATCTGTTAATATGTCTGCATCGAGTTCCCTAACCTTCTTATTCTATCGAGTATGCTTAAATAGTTTTCCTTTGTTCGCAACAAAGATTTGATTATATTTCCCAAACCTTGCATGTTCCCTTGGTTCTTACGATTTTTTTTCGGCTTTGTTCCCTCTTCCCATTGCAAAATATGCCTAATTGTTCCTTTGTGCCCTAGAAATCCCTGGGAGACCCTTACTAATAGCGAGCTCGAGCAAGCGACGTTTGTCTACACGGAGTCGAATTCAAAAATTAAAAATTCAAAAATTTATTAACGCAGACTATAATACACTTAGCCACATGCAGCTATTTTACCAGTGCTTCCATTTTGGAGGAAATTTCCTTTTTGAAGGAAATTTGAACTAGTTGAAGGAAATTATTAGGAAATTCGAATCTGAAGGAAATTTGAAGGAAATTTCGGAAGATTGAAGGAAATGTGAAGGAAATTGCCTTATTTCTACAAAATCCTAAGAATACGGCAATTTCCAAGGAAATGCGCTTCAAAATATGCTGAAAATCCTGTTCTGCGAGATGCAAAATCTGAAAATTTTCTGGGGGAGCACCCCCAGACCCCCCTGGTTATTCTCCTTCGTGTTAATCTAGGTAAACTCTTTCTCTCTCCCCTTTGATAATTCAGCTCCTGCAACGTCTATGTGCCTTCTAGAACAAGAAATACCCGGTTATTCGAGATAAATTACTATAAAATCAGTTTTAAATTAGGTAAAATTCAATAATTTTTATTGCAAGGAAATTTTTTCAAAAATAAGGAAATTTTGAACGGTAGTTATACCGCGTCAGTGCCATAGATATCTTATATACACTAGATAGCGCATCTCGTTTAGTAAAATTGAAGCCAAGAATATTCCAGCGGTTACCCCCATTTGAATAGATGGCGGCCATGTTGGAGTTTCCCACTCGCTGATAAACGCTTAAAAAAGAACAATAACTTTCATCATTTGAATAGTTTGAAAATGTATTTGGAATAGGTTTAATTGAATGTTTAAGTTCCCTGTTTAAGAAATAGAAAACATATCAATCTTCTCATTTCATAGGAATACCCTGAGCCTGCAATCACGGCTTCAATTTTTGAATTGCAGAATAATTAGATGCACTATCTAGTGTATATAAGATATCTATGGTCAGTGCGGACAAAGCATCGCTTGCTTGAGCTCAACCGCGAGACCACTGTTGTACATAAAAGTCCCGCTTTATACTGCGACGATACGCCATGTTGGAAAAAGACAAGCTGAATAGATGTCACTGTTAGATATAGAAAATGCTTACGCCTGGCTCGCACATCCGAGATAAACAAAAGCATAAAGGAAGACAAAACTCAAAAGCCATACAAAGTAACATATATGTGTGGACACGAAGACAGACATTTTAAGAGTTTCTTTTTATTCATTGAATATCTACTTAATATCCTTATATTTCTAAATCGAGTCGACAAGATTTGTTTTTAGAAATTATGAAATTTACAGTAACGACATGGATGGAATATGTTGAAAATATCAACAATTTCGAACTAACAATACACGCTAGTTTTTTATGATTATACCCTATAGTCTTTTGTAAATAATGAAAATTAGAATAATTTTTAATACCGCCATTTTAAATTACACGTCATTTTTATTCTGTGAGTCGAAATTTATTATATATTTTATTGTGTAACTTTTCTACTGATTTTCACACCTTTTACCTAGACCGCAAACGGTTACTGATAATGTTCACGGATAAATTTGTTCCAAAACTTGGCCTCTCATAAATTCGCTTTTCTCCACGCCAATTGCATTGAGAACGGTCGCTGCCACATCGAGACTCGACACATATTTACTTTCCAAACTGTTGTTCTTTAGCGCATCTGGACCTACATGATTCAATTTTGGTTACATTTGGATGAGAAATGGGTGATTTCAGCCATGCCCATAGACTAAATTTTTATCAAGGCAAGAAGAACGAAATCCAACACCACAGCTAGAAAGAGCGTCTTAGAATGAGTAAAACTACAAAGATTGGTTGCTAAATGTTGTAAAATGAAGAAAATATAGCACTGTGAAGTTCGCAAATTTTGTATATATTTGTATTACGCGCGGTAAAAATAACCATGCAGTTTCGGCTCAAAAATGGTTATTTTTCCCGAGCGTAATGCAAATATATACAAAATTTGCGAACTTCACACGGCTATATTTTCCTCATTTTACAACAATTCGCAACCGAACTTTGCAATTTTACTCATTTTAAGATGCTCTTTCCAACTATGGTAATGGTCTTCTTGTCTAGATCAAAATTTCGTCTATAGCAATCATAGCAATCATCCATTAGCAAACGTTTGTCTATAGGTACTTATCAGTGTATAATTGCATTTGCAGTTTCTGTATTTTGTGTTTCTCAACAGCCAGAGTATATTTAAAAGGTTGCTAACTGTGGGAACTTCAAAATAAAGCCACAACAAAGTAATTTTGACGGGAACGCCAAAAGGATTTTGGGTTTTGAACATCGCGACAAAGTTAAATTTTTTCAGCAGTTGCCCGGGCTGCTGCCCGCCCGCTCCTACGGCCCTGGGATGAGGGGTGCCCGAAATAGCTATACTCACCGCGAATGAGTATTGGGATGTCAACTAATGCACTGAACGGTTTATTAAAATCGTGTCCGTTTCTCCAGCCGCCATGATCTGACACAATCACGACCAATGTTCCATCAAGCATTGGTTGACCTGAATTAAAAATAAAAATATATATAAAGCCTGGTTTGCACTATCAAACTTTCTCTATGATCACAGTAGGAATTTTGCATTGGTAAATTCTAAGTTTAGAAGTAATATATGAACAACGAGAGCGAGTGTTTCACCGGGATATCCAAACACGAGAAAACAATGTATGAAAACACGAGCGCGAAGCGCGAGTGTTTTCATACATTGTTTTCGAGTGTTTGGATATCCCGGTGAGACACGAGCTCGAGTTGTTTCAAGATGGCTTCTCAAATGAATCGAGACGTAACAGAATGTTTTCGTTTCCTGATTTGAATAGAATTCTTAACCAAGGTCCAAGCATAACGTAATTAGGAATTCTATTCAAGTAATTTTGCATGCGTAATTAAGATATTTGATGAAAACACCAGTGACTTTCATCAAGTTTCACCGGGTTATCCAAATGGCATCTTGTGATCAAGTAGGTGATTATCATTGGCTGAATTGCTCATGAATTATTAATGACTTCAGAAAGATTTGTAAGAAATGTTTGAGGGGAACGAACTATATGGAATTACTGATCGACTCACTGTTTAACACTATAAGTCGGTTACCTCAATCATTTCTTACAAATCCTTCTACTCCATTTTCGAGTAGAATAGTTTAACGTCTTTTCGGACGTAATTTCTTTTTACACTTTTCTATAGTTTAAGGACTATAGAATCTGAATACTGGATCACTATGGAAATAAACGTCTAGTTTAGGTTTCCTCCTGTAGCAGTAAGGCCACATAAAATAAATTCCTTGATTCTCATCACTACACTTTGAAAATGTCGAAGAGGCGGGAGGTTTATATTTTATATTTTATATTTATATAATTTAATATATATCAATAAATAAAAGTGTCACAAACTGAAATAAACATATTTCTCCACGAACAATGACAGGCCCTTGTGCTGAATGCGAAGTTCCGTTAAAATGCAATGAAATTTCTTTCAAGGTTCTATTTGTTTGAAATTGGCAGTTTAAAATGGCACTAAAAACCCAATATAAAATATAAAAAACTTAACTGTCTTGAAATATTTTGTCGGGCGGTACATTTATATTGTATAACAAAATATAAAAAAATTTCACGCGGCTCTTAAAATACAGTCGGGCGGTGATGAGAATCAAGGAATTTATTTTATGTGGCCTAATACTGGAACAATAAGAGATCCTTTCCTGACCTCAATGGAAAAAGGTTTAGAACTGAAAGTGGTGTCTAGTACAAATTTTTTTAGTTCTCCTCTAGTATTACCATAATTAATTGGATGGCCCTTCTGCACGTCCAGAACTGCAGATGATGCTATCAATATCAAGTGTCGATAAAGTTAGTGTAAACGTACACGTAATAGAAGCAAGAATATTAAACTACACACGTAAAAACCTGCAGCAGACTTGTAGCAATGCTGTTCCAACAACTTGTCAACAGGATGTGTTCGCACTGCTTGTTCTCAGCTTGTTGACAAGTTGTCAACGACTTGTTGACAACTTCCTACAAGATTGTTGAGCTCAACAGACTTGTTACAAGTTGTTCCAACAATTTGTTATCGTCCTGCAATTCACCAATTTGTCAACATGATGCTTGTGATGTTACTCTGAGTGTATATCCACACCGGGCAAGCTTGAAAAATATGTCTGACCACGGTGGGAATCGAACCTACGACTTGGACCTTTCAACATGTTGTAAGCGACAAACTTGTAACAACTTGATGAAATAACAGCATTGTTACAACTTGTTGACAAGCTTGCTACAAACCTGTTGTGAACACATCTTGTTGATAAATTGTGAGTGACAACCTTGTAACAACTTGATAAAATATCAGCATTGTTACAACTTGTTGACAAGCTTGCTACAAGCCTGTTGTGAACACAAGTTGTGAGTGACAAACTTGTAGCAACTTGATAAAATAACAGCATTGTTACAACTTGTTGACAAGCTTGCTAAAAGCCTGTTGTGAACACATCTTGTTGATAAGTTGTGAGTGACAAACTTGTAGCAACTTGATAAAATATCAGCATTGTTACAACTTGTTGACAAGCCTGCTACAAGCCTGTTGTGAACAGACAAGCTTGCTACAAGCCTGTTGTGAACACATCTTGTTGATAAGTTGTGAGTGACAACCTTGTATAGCAACTTGATAAAATAACAGCATTGTTACAACTTGTTGACAAGCTTGCTACAAGCCTGTTGCGAACACATCTTGTTGACAAGTTGTGAGACTTTTACGTGCATGTGTAGTTTTAATTAGTTTACTTTATCCCAGCTTATTACGAAACGCGGGGTTGTTCTAGCTACAAACCTACCAGATGAATCTTGTGTCTGATTTAACGCATCAATCAACAATTTAATTTTCATTTCTACTGACTTTAAAGCGTGGTAGTATAAAGGACAACCCCAGCATGATTGATGAGCGGCCAAGTCTACCATGTCTGAAACGAGACTTTTTTTATATTTTCATAATGCTTGAAACCTTTGTAACGTTTCTGAGAGGAATTTCAGATTCATGTAAAACACTTCTCAATTTTAATTCGTGTGAATAACCGGTCATTATTCATGCATGGCTGGGGTTTGCACTGAAGATAAAAGTGTTGGGTAAACAATATTTTGAGTGAGTAAAAGGTTGGGTAAATGAAAAACAAAACAACTCAAGGGTTGGGTAATACTAAAACCTACTGTCATTTCCAAAGTATGACTCACTCAAATATTGAAGGCTAAAAAGCAATGTCAACAGTCATATGTCAATGCAATATGTAAATCAATGGGAGTCACTATCTTGATCACTTTTCGATTTGTCAGAAGGCAGCCGAAAGTACATGTGCAGACAACATGAAACTTTAGTCTCTGAGACCAGAAAATCGCACAGGCAGTTATCAAACTCATATCACAGAAGTGGTAAAGGACATGTGTGACAACTGAATGCATGGTACCCTTTTGTAAAGTTTTTGACCAGGGATGGGTATTTATGTTTTAACTGATATTTGAGGTTGGGTAAAAATTTTTTTGACTGATCCAACCATTAATGGTTGGATTAGCAAAACGTTTTACCATGAAAAACTTTTCTCTTCGGTGCCACCGCCGCCATAAATAATGACCGGGCCTTACCAAATTGTATAAACGTTAAAACTGGGTTATTTTTCACAAGATTTGCCCTGGCAGCCAAAACCGTGTTCGTATCCTTTAGATGATGACACTTTGCGATATCATTACCACATGTGACCCCTTCGCTTCCCCGATGCCACACATCAATGTCTGTGTTGTTGACCGCGAAACGTTTTAGCCATGACCATGTAAACATCATTGTTGTCTGGGTGAAGAAAAACGCTCTGGCTAAAATTCAGTGGTTAACATACACGCGTTAAAACATCATTTGTCAACAAGATGTGTTCGCAACAGGCTTGTAGCAAGCTTGTCAACAAGTTGTAACAATGCTGTTGCTTTATCAAGTTGCTACAAGGTTGTCGCTCACAAAACTTGTTGATAAACTGTTGAATTGCAAGACGATGACAAGTTGTTGGAACAACTTGTAACAAATCTGTTGAGCTCAACAAGCCGTTGACAACTTGCCAACAAGCTGGAAACAAGCACTCCACGGCGTCCTAATGGATTAGCCATCAATTTGATTTTCAACCTGTAGATTCGGATCCTTCTTCTTTACTTGCGAAAAAATAGTTTGAGGTCGACCACGTCCTGTGACTGGTGGAATACTGTAGCTTGTCTCTTTATCTGGATTGCCATTCGCAGGATTCCAAGAATTATTGAACACGCCATGTTCCATAACGTTTAATCCAGTCAGATAGGAACACCAGTTTGGCCCACTTGACTAGAGAAATAAATGTCCTACGTTAGGGATCGGTCATTATTTATGCCAGAAGAAAAATATCGAAGAGAACTGTTTCTCTTGGTAAACATTTTGCTGATTCAACCGCTAAAATGTCAAAATGTTTTTTACCCAACCCAAAAAACTTTACAAAAGGATACATATATCCTTTACCACTTCTGTGACATGAGTTTCATAACTGCTTGTGCAATTTTCTGCAGGCTAAAGTTTCATGTTGTCTGCACATGTACATTAACTTGCCTCCTGACAAATCGGAAAATGATCAAGATATGGTGACCTTGATTGATTTACATATTGTTTTGACATATGACTGTTGACATTGCTTTTTAGTCTTCAATATTTGAGTGGTTCAATGGTCATGCTTTGGAAATGACAATCGGTTTTTTATTTACCCCACCTTTTACTCACTCAAAATGTTGTATACCCAATCCTTCTCTCTTCGTTGGGGTTTGGATTCATGAAATGTCGAAGAAGTATAAATACCTGACAACCAAACACAGCCCCCCCCCCCCCATGCAAGCTACCTTTTAAAGTAATTTAAAGCCGGTGTAGTTGGAGGTTGAAGCCATCAACGGAGAAACAATATTTATACTTATACAGTTGGAAAAACTCCCCTAGCTCGAGTGGTGTAAGAACCGTGTTCAAAAAACGATCTGAATATTGGATAGTGATCTGTTACATTTCTCAAGTGAGCGCCCCCAAGACCGTCTACACCTATAAGAGAAAAGTAGATGTATTCTACAAAGAGTTGCCGATATTTGTGTCTGAACTACCTGAAAATATATCGGCTCAAACGTGGTGGTCCAGTGTAAGTAGTATTCTACAATAAGCTGTCATGGTTTGTGTCTCGGAACTATACCTAGGGCAAAAGTGATATCTCAAACGTGGAGGTGAAAAAGATATCTCGAACATGGTGGTCCAGTGTAGGTAGTAGTATTCTGCAATAAGCTAAGCTGCCGTCTTTTTTGTCCGCTGAACTACCGGCTGAAAAAGACATCTTAAATGTGAGCCGGGATCCAGGTTAGATAGTATTCAACAATCTCTATAATCTCTGTCACTCCTTTCAAAACTTTTCACATGCGTCCAGTCTGAGGTACTATTATCAGTAAAATACAATCAGACAACTGTATAGTATTGCAGGAACGAAACTCTGATTACAGTATAACACCAACAAGTGACTTACCAATGATAACCGCGCGTTTGGCAGTCCCGAATCCTTTAGGTTTTGACTGAGCGCTTTGGCTACTGGTAGGGATACTTGCGCAGTACACCGCAGTTTCACAGAAAAAAGCAGGAACGAGTATAAAGACGTAAGCTCTGACATAACCCATGGCTTCTACTAAATGTATTGTAAAAAACCGAATTCTGCAACAAAAAAACAAAAGCGCATTCAACACTAGATTGACTTGTGCTTTAGGCTTAGGACTGACAAGCTTTTGTACTCAACCCCATGGCCATGAGCTCTCGGTATGTTGCCAATATATATATATATATATATATATATATATATATATATATATATATATATATATATATATATATTTGTGGTCCCAGGGGTATTCTCAACGGCTTTGTCATGCTCAGCAGAACGTTAAACTAAGCATTATCACGTCTTTCAAGCAACGCGAAACTTATTGCGACCCAAAAGGTGATACTTAAAGTCGAAATTACAGCAAACATTGCATCGCTTTAGTCAAACTTAGCAGTTTGTAATGTTATTTGAAAATCGTCAAACATTTATTACAGTAATGAAATTGCTTAGCGTTCATTTTTTAGCTGAAATTCAGACCGCGTCGTTGAGCTGGCCGCGTCGTAGATCTTAAACTCTCTATTGCCCAATTGATAGGCCCTGTGTACCACAGGAAATTTGCCCCCTCCGAAAATTTGCCCCCCCCCCGGACCAAATTTCCTAGAAAATTTGCCTCCCGGGTCATATTTCCTAGGAAATATGCCCCCCTTCGGAAATTTCCCCCCCCTAAAAAATTATTGTTTACTTTATGTTTAGGGTCGGAAATCGTGAAGCTTCTACTAAAACCAAATTTCTAGAAATTTGATATTTGCTGTGTTGGTGTAATGTACTCAGGTGAATAAGATGCTTGTGTGATGTTACTCTGAGTGCCTGTATATCCACACCGGGCAAGCTTGAAAAATATGCCTGACCACGAAATATCGAATACTCGAACCGACCTGATCGCATACTCGAACCGAGCTGACCGCGTAGCTCAGTTGGCAGAACATTGGGCTAGTATTCCAAAGGTCGTAGGTTCGAATCCCACCGTGGCCAGGCATATTTTTCAAGCCTGCCCGGTGTGGATATACACTCAGAGTAACATCACACAAGCATCTTATTCACCTGAGTACATTACACCAACACAGCAAATATCATGATTATTAGATTACACTGATTTCGAAGGAACTAGACTCAGTTCCGAAATATCGCATACTCGAACCGACCTGGCCGCGTAGCTCAGTTGGCAGAGCATTTATTGGGCAATTTTTTTCGCTGACCAATCACATTGCCGAAATTTGGTTTTCGCTTCGCGCGGACAAATTCGCCCCAAAACGGGCTTAAATCAGTAATAAATCGATACCTTCTCTTGTTTCGTGATGTCACGTTTTCCAAGCACACGAAATCACTTACTGTAAGCCCTTAAATCTTCAGTTACAACGTCACAACGCACAAGTAAAATTCCTATAAAATTCCATCAGTAAAATTCATACTTACAAGTAAAATTCCTATAAAATTTCATCAGTAAAATTCATGACTCATATGGTTATCATCAGGAACAATGATAAATAAAAAAAATATGAAATATATTTCTTATGATCACTGAATTTTAGTCGAAAGCTAGAATATTAAAATGTTATTTTCGACGTTACCGCGTTGTTTTATACTAGATTTTATGAAAATACTAAGTGGTTCCCGTAATTTTTACAGGTTACGTATGTCGTCATTGACGTCAACGAATGTTTTCACGATTTCATGTCAGTGAACTCTATATATATATAGTACAATCTGCAGACGGTACCGTTACGTATATATATATATATATATATATATATATATATATATATATATATATATATATATATATATATATATATATATATATATATATATATATATATGTA